TTCAAACTATCTTTTTTTGGGATTTTAAACACTCAATTTCAGAGTATTTTCAGTGGTGAAAAATCATGTTTTGAAGTCCAAATTTGGAGGGGTTAGCCTCCACTCCTTGTGCCTTGTTTGCTAGCCTAGTTAGCTCTATGTGTTAGTTTAATTTTCTAGCCTTTTGTAGCTTAATTCCAGCATGTTTTAGGCTCTATTTTAAACTGTTTTAAATCTATTTTTGGCTAGTTGTTACATTTGAGTCTTGTTTTGCATGCTTGTAGTGTAAGTGTCCTCACAAGCTTGGTGTTTTAGGCCTTTAGACACCACTTGTTTGAGTTGATTGCATTGTTTTAGTGTTTTTCTTACTTAATTTCAGTACTTATTAACCTCTGCAACTTCCCTCATTTCTTGACTTTTTATTTGCTTTGAGGGTTGTTTCAACCTTAGGATAGTTTAAGCTTGAGATTGAAGTCCATGCCTAATGGTTTAATCCTCTTTTGAGGGTTTATTATCAACGGCATGACACGTCTCTCTTGCCTTAAACTACCCCTTGTTTGACACTTCCTTCTCTTTAGAGGACTACTCACCAATGGACTTAATTGGTTAAAGAATGGTTGGTAATCTAAAATGAGTAAATAAAAATGGAAACTAAAATTGTGCAAAATAAGATTTTGGTTGTGTTTTGGTGCATTCAATCGGACGTTAATTGAACACAAGGAAAATTGGAGCGTTTCATATTCAAAGTGATGAAATGTGTCAAGTTTCCTTGGTCTTCATTGCCCTTGATCATGCATGATAGGGTAATGGTCTTTGGTCTTGTTTGCACATTTATTAAACTTGTATATCTTGGTTCCTTGGCCATCATGCAATGAAATTGCTTGATTGATGGTCTTTGAACCAAGTGTATCACCCCCTTCGAGATGTTTTGATGATAAGGGGGGATACACAGTACAAACAACCTGTGAGAATACTCTCTCTTTGCCCTGTTTGCTCTCTGTTGCAGCAAGAATTGGAGCATCATCTGTGGCCGGCCGGCCACTGTTACTAGCTGACAGGCCATCAGTGTTGGACGGTAACCCCCCAATGGCCACCACTTCTGGCCTGCCGGCCACCAATGAATTTTAAGCAGTGTGTTTGTGAAGCATAGTAGAGTTGATTTGGAGAAGGAAATCAGTGTAAGAATTGTGCAATAGAGGCTTTCGAAAGCAAACATTGGATGTTCTTCGGGTGGAAACCGAGCATACATGGGCCTCCCTCGCTTCCCGGGACTAGTTAATTAGTTTAATTAGTAATTAATCATTTATTTGTTGTAATTAATTAGTTGTAGCTAATTAGCTTGTTTTGTACTTATTTACTTAGTTTAGATTGATTAATTAAATTAGTTTGTGTTGCAATATTTAATTAGCTTAACCTAGTTAAATTCTTAATTAATTAGCTTAGAAGTTAGTTAATTTATTCATTCAAGTTTTATAATAATTAGTTAAGTAGTTTAGCTTAGTTAGTTTATTCATTCGGACCCTCCTGCGCGAGGGCATTAATGTTGTAATAATGTGTATGTTTTCCAACCCCACGTCTTTCTCCTTTTTATTTATCCGCTTTTGATGATTAGATTAGGGGCTCATGTTTTGTTTAACATACGTCATGTTTGTATCCATTCATCTTGTCTTGCATGCACTAGGGCTCGGTTTATCATTCAAACTTGCATTGTCGTTTATTACCTCATTGAATATGTGTTTAAATGCATGCTATGAAATTGTTGCAAATAACATGTTAAGTAGCCGAGCCTATTTTAGTTACATTATTGCATGTGTTGCATTAGACATTTGGCATAGTTAGGAATAATGCATTTCTCTAACTAGTTTCTCTTTTGGCTTGGAGTACTAGGTGAGTTGTTAACGCTTTAGCATACTTGCACGAGTGTGAGTGATTGCCATGACTAGCATGCTTGCCATGAGGCTAAGTGCTTACTTGTTAAACTGCTTGAATGCCTGTGGATGAAAGCTTGTTGCTTGAATTGAAATAATTCAATGAATGTACGTTTTAAGCCTACTTTGTCAAGTGAAAAATTCACAAACTTTAAACCCACTTTGTTAAGTGGCAAAATCAAACAATTTTGCAAAACAAATATGACTTGAAATGTTCTAATTTTTGCAAATTTAGTCTATACTTGCTTGTACACGCAACACATAGTAAATGCTAACCTAATAATTAGACAAGAGCATATAATGTTGATAAAAATCATCTCATGATTAGTAGAGACCGATCTATGATCGGACGAACGGGGTGCTCAATTCATGACCTTCCCCTCTCGTACCTAAGTTCCCAAGCTGAGGCAATCTTGGTGATGACAGACACGCGGGCTTTGGCATGAGTCATGGGTTTCCTAAATTTTTCAAAAATAAAAATATTTAGGTGGCGACTCTCTATTTGGCAAAGCAGTCCATTTTTGACATTTTTTTATTCAAAATCAATTTTTCAAAATGATTTGTCGGATTTGGATTCTTTCGTGTTTATTAATTTTCACATTGCACTTGAGATTAGATTTAGTACTGCAGGAGTCCGAATTGTAGGGCTTCTTTTCAAACCTCTGAAAGAATGCGCGAAAAAGCCGAGCTACTGTTTCGATTTCGATTTAGGTTTCTCTCACCCAATTTTGTTTTCAATTTTTGACTTTTAATTCGATTCAGGAACAACCTGTTTTGATTTTGCGAGTTAAGATCAGCCAAAAGACATTTTGAAAATAGGTGAGGAGTTTCTTCATATTTATCTATCTAAGATATCAATTTCCTTTCATATACATACATACATCACTGTATGTTCATAAAGCTGATTGCTTTTTGTACTTTTTATTGTTATTATTTGGGTTTATTGGGGTTTTTTTTTTTTGGGTTGATTGGAGATAGGTACAATATTTTAAGAGTTAATTTTTGAATTTGTTATATTTCCTTGGCAAGAGCTAAGTTCTATGAGAAGAAGGGGAGGTTTCGTTGAGTTATAGTTAAGTTTTTTTTTTTATTTTTTTTATTTTTTTATGCAATCTTGTATTTGGATTCTCTTTACATGTATAATTCTAGAAATAAATCAAACCTTAAGTCCCATTAAAATTATATGTAATTATGGAAATAATTTTTTAAATTATAATTAAGATTAGTTTTTCCCCTGAGAGTAGTTTGCTATTAAAATTTTTTGTTATTTGTCTCTTGAGTATAGATTTTTTTTATATGGAATATAAATTTACTAATTTAGGAAGATCTGTATTTGGTTTGAGTTTTCTGAATTAAATTTTTTGATTTTCATGTTTTTTTGTTTTTAGTGAATATTTTTAAAATTTTAAATATTTTTTTTTTACTTTTTTAGATACATTTTACTTAGATGTGTCTAAAAAGTAAAAAAATTGTGAAAAAATATTTTAAAAAATTAAGAAATACATAAAAATACAAAAAATGTACTAAATTCTTGTATTTTTTTTTTATATTTTTGGTATTTACTGAATTTTTAAAAGATTTTTTTTATAATTTTTTTACTTTTTAGGTGTATTTATGTTAAGTGTGTCTAAAAAGTAAAAAATTTGCATAAAATATTAAAAAAAATCAGTAAAAACAAAAAGACACGAAAAATAAGAATATAGAATTTTTTAAAAACTGTTTTTAAAAAATGGGAACCAAACAAAGTTGATATTCACACTTCACTTGTGAGTGGCTAAAAGACAAAAAATAGAGTGTGAAAAGTTTAAAGGAGAGTGAGAATATCATTGCTTTTAAAATATGTGATATATTATTATTATTATTATTTTGCATTATCTCAAACTAGCATTTCATATTCATTACCATAGTTCATCTCTTTCATTTGGATAAGCACTTGTATATGTTGGTTTTCTATTTTTGGAGGTGACTTGGACGTATATGTGATTCAGTTTACATTGTAACAAGGATCCATGTGAATTCTACATATTATTTGTTTTCTAGTGCTCATTACTATATTTGCATCCATGATAAATATATGTTCTGTTATATGTCATTTTTTATTGTTCTTTATGTTGTAAAGTTGATTGCTCTTGCGGAATACATATGTCACCATTCAGTGATGAATATTTGTATGTTGAAATTGTCAAATGAATTTGGTGTATTAAAGCATTTGTATGGTCTATTATCATTATTATTTACTCTACACATAAAATCAAGTTTTGGAATGACTTGAGAAATTTGTGACAATGTAATGTATGGAAAAATTGTGAACTTGTGTTTCTATTACTATAGTACTTAAAACAAGCAGTAAGGGAATTGAGAACAACTTCAGGTCATTGAATTATTTAAATTTTTTTGAGTAAGAAGGTGAACATATTGCATAAAAGCACTGCTTTACTCTTTGTTATTTTACTTTGTATGCTTCACACGTAAATAGATTGTGTTCTATTTAGAACTAGTTATTTTGTTTGGCCACTTGTTATTTTCTTAAATGCATCAGCTTCCTTTGTATTGTGTTTATATTACGGGCAAGTTTCACCCACCTAGTCGATCACCCGATCAACCACTGATAATTTTTGTTTATAAAAAAATATACATATTCTATGTCATGCAAAAAATGCTGTTAAAAGGTTTTTAATGACATACAATGGAATGCCGTTGAAGTGAACGTCATAACACGGTTTTACATTGCGTGTCGTAGAATCATATCACGACATACAAGATCCACTGTTAAAATATTTTTAACGGCATGCTATTATTGCCATTGAAGTGAACGACTTTTCATGGCATGTCATAACACAACTTTACATTGCGCGTCGTAGAAACATATCCATGGTATGTATTTAGTGCAGTTAAAAGTAATTTTTGTTTTATTAGATAAGTGCACTTATTTGGATCACATCACCTCACTACTAGAAAAATAACTTTTTACGTCTATTTTTTTGCAACTGATTATTTGACCGTCGCACAAAAATTTTGCCCCCCCAAAAAAAAAAAAAAAAAAAAAAAAACTATTTGCAACAAGAAAAAACTTGTGAGCCCACTATTGGAACCCACTCAGCCCAATTTACTTGTGAGCCGAAGCAAAAACTCTCATTTCCCCCAAATCTGATTGTGTAAAACTTGCCCTAGACTCAAACCAAACCAAATCTGATTTTGCTTTAGACTCACAAATCTGATTTCCCATGGTGAAAGTGTGTGGGGTTCTCCTTATCCATTCTCATTTCCCTCAAATTTGATTTTGCTCGATCGTGTCTGAGTAAGAGAATCTGATTTCCCTCTCTCAATTTCGCTCTATAGATCACCATGGTCGTCTGAAGAAGAGATCTCCAACAGTATGAACTCCCTCTCTCTCTCTCTCTCAATGAGTCTCTTCAAATCATTCATTCGTATTTCAACTTCTTCATCTCTCTACTTGGATCACTTATTTCTTATCATCTGAACTCACTGTAATTCGATCACTTTTTCGTCAATCTATTGATTTTTCCACCAGGTAATCTGATTCTAGAAACAAGCTTTGGTTTGAATCAATCCTTCCTCATCTGCTACAGGTACAAGCTTAACCATTCAATTCTTAATTGACGAGTTTTACATTTTATAGAATTGAGAAATCAGCAATTCTGTCAATACTATAGCCTCTCTCAATTTTAAGAATTTTACTATAATTTGTAAGTATTTCAGGGCTATAGAATTGCTTATTTCTATAGCCTCTGTTGAACTCACTGTAATTAATCCCACAATCAAACAGGGCTACATATTTCACCTTGGTCATTGTATTTACTTCCTACTGCACTTGCAGTCAAGCTCGAATGTGAATCCTCATTTTGCTTCTCAAAACTTGAGATTAACAATGTAAACAATGACCACTGCTTTTAGGAAGTGAGATGATTCTATGTATGATGAACATAACAAATTACGGCAAAAACATTGTTCCATGAAAAGGAAAAACATCCCTCTCTCTCTCTCTCTCTCTCTCTGACAAGATGTTAGATTGAAGGAATCAGCAATTCTATAGAAGTTTGATTTCACCTCTGGCCTTACTGACTCTGGTGCCTGTGCATTCAGAGTGAACTTTATTTCCTCAGTTAGCTAAGTAATTTGTTAGTTTAATTTTAACTAGAAAGTTTACTACTTATTACTTAACCTAGAGCACCTTAACAAAACATAGAAAGAGCCAGTGGGGATTGGGACAAATCAGTTAAGTTGGGTTCATACACTTCTGCTATTTTGATATTTCCTTGATTCTAGTGAGGTAAACATATGTCTGGTTTATGCTCAATCTGATTGGGGTTTTCTCAACTTATAGCAGATGCATTTTACCTCTTTCGACATTATGGATGTTTTTCTAACGATATTACACATAGCTTACTTTTGTTGTGTTTTCTTTCTTTGTCAATCCTATAGCTAAGATAAGCAGTGGTATACCAGTGTGCAAGCTCTGCATTTAATAAAATTCTGAGTTTGTTTTGTTTAGAATTGGGGATATCAATCTCAAATGTGCAATCAATTGGATATGATTATGGGACATGCCTCACATTCTCAAATGTTGTGGGGGAAATTTTTGTTTTCTGCTTGTAAGTTGCATGAGGACTGCAAATACATCTTTTTACATTGGATTGAGTTTTTTGAATGAATTTTCTCAGATGATTTAATTGAAATTATTGAGGAACACTACATTTCTGCTTAGTTGGTTAAATTGCAGTTAAGTAGCTTGCCTTTAGCATCCATCCTAATGCCTTGAAAGGTTACCCTTAATAGACTTTTAATGCAAGAAAATTACCCAAACAAAGAGAAAAATTGATTTCCACTTACTTCCAGAGCCTTCTCTGCTTCTCTTTCTATCCAAATAATTGCATGATCAGATGTGGCATTGCATGATAAGACAATATGTTCAAATCTTCCATCTACTGGTATGGCAGTTTTAACCTCTGGAGAATATCTCCCACATCTGTTTGCATGAAGCAACTGAGGTCTTAGTTTTAGAGCAAGCACAACTATTGTTGCTAGCAAATTACAAACAAACTTCTTAAGATAAAAAAGAAGAAGAAAACAAAAAGCTTCTTAGGTACTGAAATTACACGACAATTGACTTCGAGCATAGGAAACCTATTTATGATAGAGGATTTTTTCAGTCACTAAACATTCTTAAGCAAATAATAGGAAATTTTCCAAAATACAAAATTAAGGTGTATTGGCCACTACCAGCATTTGATCTGGATTTATATGGCAATATTGAGAAAAGGAATTGCCATGAGGAATTCTTCTACATACTAGGCATAATTCAGATTGTATAATGCTCATTATCACTAACCAAATTTGATCACATAAAATATTGCCTCTCAAATTCTTGTATGGCAGTTTGAATTTATGAACTTGTTTTTATTTACCATTAGTCATGACATTTGTGATGTTTGGTTGAGATTTGCCTTGTTTGCAATTGCTTTGATAGGGCTAAGAACTCTTTTAGTTTTTCATGGCCTTGCTTATCAAAACTCTAATTTGGGGCACTTTCTTTAATTTTCATGGAAGATTTTGGAAAGTCTCTTAATTTGTTTTGGAAGTTTCTTAAATCAAGTTTTTGGAAAGTTTCCATTTTTAGGAAGTTTAAATAAGAGAAGTTTCTTGAATTATTTTTGGAAAGTTAAACTATGAAGGTTTCCTAGTCTATCATTGCAAGCTTATGATGTGTTATTTTCCTTTTTGGGTTTATTTTATGTTCATCTTTAGAAACGACAGATACCATACAAAGTAGAGGCCAATAATTGGTTGGGAAAAAATGGGTGCCTAACATCTCCCCACTTTGTACCTTAGCCCCTGAGTCTACGTGACAATGGTGATTAGGCATTATCTCAATTTTTAACTAAGTGGAGACTCTTTTGTGATTTGAATCTCTAGTTCTCTGTGAGTTACGTTGGTTTGCATAGGATGTCAAGAGGGAGACAATATGAATTAAAATTGGCCTTCTCACAATTTTATATCAGTATGTCTCTTTCCATAGGATTGAAATAGGGTATGGCTGACAAACCAACACTCTAGGAAACAAAGTGGAAGTAAGTGGAAATCAATTACATTAGATTAAAAATTACCCTTAATAAACTTTTAATAAAACTAAAATGTAAAAAAATTTGAGCATTATTTCAAAAAAAAAAAAAGTATACAATATATATATATAAGGGCTCGTATTATGGAAGGGGGGGCTATGGCTATAGCTATAGCTATGTTGGGAGGGGTCGTGGCAGGGGGGCCATGTCAACTCGTGATTCCTAAGATAGTATGTGGTAGTTTCCAAATGTTTGGGTAGAAATTAAAGCTTGATTTAGGACTGTGCTTGTAATGTTTGTGCCTCTTACTATTCATTGGCCGAAAAATAAAATTAGGATTTGTGGTATTTTTTTACATGTCTTAAATCTCTTTGCTCTTAATCAACATTAATTTTTGTTTGTTTGTCTTTTTTCTTCTTTCTGGATATGCAGCTTGTTGTAGAGAAGAATTGATGTAATAATATTAGTATCCCAATAAGGTAAGGTTGGTTCATATGATAAGCAGAAATTTGAAGTGAAATTTTACTATTATACAGTTAGCAAAAAATTGAGAGGTGAACAAGTTGAGATATACCCTGGCATTGGCTTTGCAATATAGTTGGAACCAAAATAGTTGGAACAAGATTTTGATTTGCTCTGTTTGTTTCTTATTTTTATTGTTTGTTTTATTATTATTTTAAAATTTTGTTTTGAACTGTGAAAAAGTGGGAAGGAAATCAATGGCAACCTAAGCACAACCTAGGAGTGTGCCCCTCACTCCCAAGTCAGTGGATTTTCAATGGCTTAATAGAACAATTTTGATGGTCCTACGCATTTTTGGCACAGTTTAGATGGTACCACGCATTGTGTGCCAATATAGATGCTTAGTTTGTTATTTCATTTTATCAAGGTCTATATATGTTTAGTTTATTTAAATAAATCTGTTTCTTTTTCTTCCAATATATATATATATATATATGATATTCCATGTCAGCTGCAAGTTCTTCAAGTTTTTTTCTTCTAGTATTGTTGTTTATAGTGATCATATATATATATATATATATTTCTTCCCATTATATTTTTCGGATTTTGTTTTACATGATCAAATTATATCTTATTGTGGTCTCTGTTGGTGTTATTTTAATAATCTGAGCATAGCAGTAGTTTGTTGGCTCACTGTTGTATTTTTTGTTTTCTTTCTCAAACCTGAAAGAAATTGAACATATTTGTCTTTAATTCTATCTAAAGAGCCATGTTAATATTCTCATCTTTAGTACATTGATTTTATTAATATGTTGTTCTTTAATTTTCCATTTCATTACCAAAATAAAAAACAAGCTTTCAATTTTCTTGGCAGCCATGTATAACTATGCTAAAAATATTCCTCCACTCAAGAGTCCAATCTCTTTGATTTTAAGGGTGTCTTTGGTTTATAAATTTTGGAGAGATTTGCAAAAGGAAAGAAAAAATATAGGTGAAATGTAAATGAATTATAATTACATTTCACTGATATTTCACACACCTTTTCGCTTTCTAAATCTCTCTCCAAATTCATGAACCAAATATAGTTTAAAGGTAACAGTTGATATTTTGTTTTAAAATTTTTGCAAGCACTATTTGTCTTCAGCTAACAGTGTATAATATCCTTACAAATATTCCTCTACTTTAAGTCATGCACTTGTTATTGTGATACTTTGCAAACTCATTCTTTTTATGGATGTGTACAAAAATAGTTAAAGAAATAGAAAGATGGACAAGAATTGGATTGATTTTCTAAATCGGATGTCAGTTGATTACGTGAATGGAATTGATAACTTCTTGAGATTTGCATACAATAATAGAGATGAAAGTTCATCTATTAGTTGTCCGTGTCGATTTTGTAGTAATCGATACAATTTTTCATGAGAGGCTGTAAAGGAGCATCTTATTTCCAATGGGTTCGTAAAAAAGTACAAAAATTGGATTCGTCATGAAAAATCCTATGTCTAATTACATGCTAACCAAGAAAACCAAACATTAATGGTGGATTCAGCGACCAGAGATGATGTGGTTAGGATGGTACAAGAGGCCTTGGGAATTCCGCATATGTGTGTTGAGAATGATGAACCAACTGCAAGTGATCCAGCCCAAGCAAGGGCAAGTGATCCAAGCCATGTAGAGGAAGATGACCTGGTTCGGATAGGGGAAAATGATGAAACTTTGAAATATTTTAAACTTTTGGAAGATGCACAAACTGATTTGTGCCCGGGTGTCAGAAATTTACTTTACTATCATTCATTGTTCGAATTTTGCATATGAAGGTGCTCAATTAATGGACCGACAAGTTCGTTGACATGTTACTTGAACTTTTGAATGAGGCTTTTCCTACGGGCATATAACTTCCAAGTTCATATTATCAAGCTCAGAAGGTTACTACAGATTCGGGTTTCACATATGAGACTTTTGATGCTTGCCCCAATAGTTGTATGTTGTTTAGAAAAGAGGATACAAAACTTGATAAATGTGTTATATGCAGTAGTTCTAGATGGAAACAAAACGGTGGTGTTGGAAATGATAAAAGGGAATCTTGTAAATGGGTAGTAGCAAAACAGATGAAGTATTTCCTTTTGAAGCCAAGTTGCAGAGATTGTTTATGTCATCGAAAATGGCAAAGCTCATATTCATTGTTTGAAACAAATAACAAAATTACAAGCTTGCAGAGTACTTCTAGATGGAAACAAATAACAAAATTACAAGCTTGCCTACAACAAATGTCCCCAGCTAAGCAGACTGAAAAGGAAACTAAAGAGTTGACCAATCAGGTTCATTGTTTAATTTTTCTTGTTCTTCTATTGGTTTGCATCACCCATATTTTATACATATTTGATTATTGCTTTTTGAATTGCTAGTATTGTAATCTCCAACTTTGGGCTGCTTGTGTTACCTAGAGCATTGAATCAAGATGATTTATGTTTTTTTGTTACTGTTAATTTAATAACCCATGTTGGGTAGTTTATTTATTTATTTATTTATTTACTTGACAGGTCTTAATGAAATTGGAGTTGATGTTGCATCTCTAGTCAGTATTCGTAGTAGTTTTTTGTTTTTATAATGAATTTATAGTGTTAGTTGATGCTATTTTTCATGTATTAAATTAGTTTTGAATTTAACTCTCACTCTTGACAATTATCGGTATCACCCAAAGGAAGAATTGTTAGGAAGACGACCAAGGACGCTAACAGGTATCTTGTGTTATATTATAAGTAAATTGATATCCATATTTCTTATGTATTAACATTTTCATATTTCTTTCATTTTAGGATGAAGCAGAAAAGAAAGACTTTTAAGGCCTCTTGTATTATGGATGAGGTTTTACGTGTGCGGGCAAGTCCCTCACTACTTTGCACTATTGATGAAGCATCTTCTTCATATATTTCGAGATAAATGTTACTGTTAAAGTTCTATTTGTTCTAAAGCTGATTTATATTATTTTTTTATGTTTATATCTTGTGTTATATTATAGGTAAATTGATATCCATATTTCTGGTGTATTAATTTTTTCATATTTCTTTTATTTTAGGATGAAACAAAAAAGGAAGACCTTTAAGGCCCCTTGCACTATGGATAAGGCTTTACGTGTGCGGGCAAGTCCATCGCTACCTCGCACTATGGATGGAGCATCTTCTCCATATGTTTCGAGGTAAACTTTACTGCTAAAGTTTTATTTGTTTTGAAACTTATTTATATTATTTGTTTATATTCATATCTTGTGTTATATTATTAGTAAATTGATATCTATATTTCTTGTGTATTAACCCTTTTCGTATTTCTTTTATTTTAGGATGAAGCGAAAGAGGAAGACCTTTAAGGCCCCTTGCACTATGGATGGGGCTTTACATGTGCGGGCAAGTCCCTCGCTACCTCGCTCTATGGTTGGAGCATCTTCTTCATCTGTTTCATCTCCACATATAGTATCAACTACCTCAACATGATGAGGTCGAGGATTTGCCCAAGGGATAAAGGAATGGGGTACAGGCACTAAGATCCAAGTAAAATTTGATGATAAGTTTCAGCCAGTGGAGGATGATAGCGAAAAGTTGAAAGGACAATTGGGGTTGATCGTGCGCAGCGGGCATAGAGTCCCACTTACATGTCTCAGTTGGAATGTGATGCATGTTGATATCAAGGAGAATATTTGGCAAGAGGTGAAGGTATATAGTTTTCCCTTTTGCTAATTAGGGTTAGGGTTAATGCTTAGATTTTTGAATTTTTTCAAGTTATTAGTTATTTGATTTCTGATTTCTTGTTAATTGTATTTAGTGTTAATAGGTTGTGTGATAGTCTGTGGATTTCTAATTTTGATAATTTACTTGTGCATTTGTGTATGCTATATAATTATATGGATGAAATTGGCGACTTTATAGGACAACTTGGTATACTGTCCAAATGAATTCACGGAGGTTTGTATGCGACTTTGTAGGACATCGTGGAAAGATCATAAAAGTAAGACAAAGTCCAAGTATTGGGTTCCATTCAAGAATAATCCGAACATTGCTTCTAGAGTACTTAGTAAACATAGTGCCAACCCAGCGGAGGAAACTTATCCAATATTGGGCGAGTAAAGAAGTACATGTATAAGTATTCTTTATAAAATTTTAATTAATGTTTTAATGATAAGTAACTAACGTTTGATATTCTAACCAATGTCATAGGCGATTACTAAGAAGAATTCTTCTAATCGGAGATTTCGTGGGCCTCCACATACGACCGGAAGGACATCTTTCTCAGATATTCGTTTCAATGTATTGATCTTGTGGCTGCACCTAAGGCATCATTTGATATTGCATTTGGTGCTACAGCTGCAGCCGCACCTAGTGCACTTAGTGTGACACTTGTGGCTGTAGCTGTGGCTGCACCTAGTGCTGCACTTGTGACTTATTATGTTGTGAAGACTTGAGCTCCTAACTTGGAAAAAAACTATAAATGACACATAAATGAGAGCAGATAGATAAGATGAGTCTTTGGAAGAGGGCACACAAACTGAATGATCCCGATATGGTGGCAATTGTGGTATGTTTATGGTTTAAAAGCTTTTACATATATTTTGCTTTTTACCAAACATTGTCCTTACGTTTTCAAAATGTAGGAGGAATACAATCTGCATCTTTGGAAAGTTCCTAAGGAGCAACATACGATTGAGTATTGCGATGGGATTTACCATAAAATCGTTGGGAATGATGGACATGGGTATTGCAAGACCTATGGAAGAGGAGTGCCCTGGAGTGCGGTGTATGCACTAGGCAGCGGCCTATCCCAATCATTAGCAGCCCCTTCATTTATTGATGAGATCACACAGCGTGTGACACAAGACGTTGAGTCTAGGTTCACTACAACAATCAAGAACCTCACGGCACGTGTTTTGTTCTTAGAGTCACAGGGTGTGGCTGGGAGTATGAGCTTGAGAGAGGTGCAATACTTACAAATTAACAAATTTTACGTTTTATCAATTTGTATATATACATATGGAAATTATTAACACATTATACTAACATATGGAAATTTTACGTTTTATCAATTGCAAATGGGTTTTCTTCAGGGACATCATTTACCTAGAAAGCAAGTAACATGCATATGCATAAAGGGTATATCATTTGCTGTGGAATGAGTTCAGACAATCATTGTCTTGATCCATACATTTTAATGAGTAGTTATAATTATCTGAGTACAGGTTGTCACACAATGGAATTTTAATTTATATCACAATTTTTTTCTTTGTTATGCTAGAATCTTATTCAAAATACGAATGAGATAAGACTGGAGTTATAATCCTTCATTTTTTAGGGGCTTGGCTCATCTAAATGACACCTCAAGAGGCCTTGAAAATTTGATTGGGCTGCAGGCCTATGAACCGAATACCGAGAGAGAGCCAAGTTCTGTATGCTGATTGACCCAACACATACGACCGGAAGGACATCTTTCTCAGATATTCGTTTCAATGTATTGATCTTGTGGTTGTACCTAAGGCATCATCTGAGACTACATTCAGTGCTGCAGCTGCAGCCGCACCTAGTGCACTTAGTGTGACACTTGTGGCTGTAGCTGTGGCTGCACCTAGTGCTGCACTTGTGACTTATTATGTTGTGAAGACTTGAGCTCCTAACTTGGAAAAAAACTATAAATGACACATAAATGAGAGCAGATAGATAAGATGAGTCTTTGGAAGAGGGCACACAAACTGAATGATCCCGATATGGTGGCAATTGTGGTATGTTTATGGTTTAAAAGCTTTTACATATATTTTGCTTTTTACCAAACATTGTCCTTACGTTTTCAAAATGTAGGAGGAATACAATCTGCATCTTTGGAAAGTTCCTAAGGAGCAACATACGATTGAGTATTGCGATGGGATTTACCATAAAATCATTGGGAATGATGGACATGGGTATTGCAAGACCTATGGAAGAGGAGTGCCCTGGAGTGCGGTGTATGCACGAGGCAGCAGCCCATCCCAATCATTAGCAGCCCCTTCATTTATTGATGAGATCACACAGCGTGTGGCACAAGACGTTGAGTCTAGGTTCACTACAACAATCAAGAACCTAACGACATGTGTTTTGTTCTTAGAGTCACAGAGTGTGGCTGGGAGTACAAGCTTGAGAGAGGTGTAATACTTACTGTAGACACTTAAATTTTTATGTGTCTTGATCATCGTCTGATTAATCAAGACAAATAAATTTTTCTTGATTAATTGGTCAAAATTTTCAAATGGATGTGAGTCCTACTAAAATTATGGATTTTAACCTATTTTAAATTATGAGTCACACTAAAAGAAAAGTGAACCGTCAACCCAAATGTGTGGGCCCATGAAAATATTTTATCAAAATTTAGTGGAATAATTCAAATTCAAATTTAAATTTAAATTTAAATGCAAATCACGTCTATAAATTAAGAAATAAATTGTCATTTCTTTGGAAATTCAAATCAATTTTGGAGTTTTCAAAATTGATTCTTCTCTCCTAAGCCTATAAATAGAGGCTCTCGCCAAGAGAAAGAGGGACACATTTTTTTGGCTAAAAGTCTTGCAAGCTCCTAAGCAATCTCAAGATTCTGCCAAATATTCTTCTTAAAATTCTCTCTAAAGTTCTTCAAACCTAAAAGAAAAGATTATCAAGCACGTCAAGCTTGTGCCAATCTTTTCAAGTTGTAAATACAAATTCGGTCTCTCTTTTCAAGAAGATCATCTCAAGACTCATTTAAGATCAAGCCATTCAAGCCCTTGATCAAGCCTTTCTTCTTCAAGTTTCTCCATTCGAAGACTTAAAGAAATCCATCAATTTGTTCGATTCAACAACAAGCTTCTGTAGCCATTAGATTGTAACCCATTTCGGAGATCGAATTAGAGGATTTGTTCTTTTGTAATAAAACAAACCATAGAGGATTGTACCCATTTGTTATAATCAAATAAAATTAATTATTTGTGCATTTATTTCTTGTCTTAATTGCAGCTACGAAATTTGTGTTTACAATTTTGGCACGCCCAATGGGATCTCTCTGCCTCTCATCTCTTTCTCCTAAAGCATCTTCCTGGAGTCTTGTTTGATCAAGCATAATGGCTTCAAATAAAGTTCAAATTGCTTTGATTAATAAGAGCGCCAGCAAGAATACCGCTGTCACGACCAACAACAGCAGCACTTCTACGGGTCCGATCACCCGTAGCAAAACCAAGGCAACCATTGCTCTCACCACTTACAGGGTCATGCCGACCGCCTATGCAACAAAGCAAGTGCAAGGCAAGTCTCACAAATCTATCACGGTATCCACGTCTGGGGCTAAGCAAAAAGAAGTGAGGGAATGAAAGAAGTTCACTTCTATCTCAAAGGATTCTCTACCAGAAGGTTTCTGTCCACACCCAGCACTCGTAGCTTCTGATGCAAACTCAAGTACAGGTTCACACTCAAGATCATCTCCTAGTAGTCCTCAACATTCAATTTCATCGAATCATCTAGATTTGTCTCGATCGGTGGCTATGCAAGTCATGACCACTAGCACCAGTTCAGTGGAAGAATAATTGGCGATCATGGCTCATTCCATTGACAAGCTCACCAAAACTGTAAAAGAGAAAGATCTTCAGATTGCCACCTTGATGAACAAGTTAGAAGCACAAAATGCTGACGAGGCAAGTCAAGACAATTTTCATCAACCTGGCTTTACACCACAAGGCACGTTTGTTGAGAAGGTGAACCCTGCGTACAAGTCCAAGCAAGTTATTGGTGAGAAAACTTGCCATACATCTATTGTGAGGCAAGCGATTGGCACAAGTAGTCAACCAGCATCCATTGCGTCTTTGTTTGTTCAACAACTCCAAGACATGATTACAAATTCCATCCGAGCACAATGCGGTGGGCCCTCGCAAAGCGCTTTCATGTACTCCAAACCTTACACAAAGGGGATAGACATTCTCAGAATGTCTAGTGGATGCCAACCTCCCAAGTTCCAGCAGTTCAACGGAAAAGGTAATCCTAAACAACATGTCGCTCACTTTGTTGAAACTTGCAACAATGCCGGGACAGATGGAAATCTACTTGTCAAACAATTTGTTCGGTCACTCAAAGGAAATGCCTTTGATTGGTATACTGATTTGGAGGCTGAGTCAATCGACAGTTGGAAACAAATAGAACGTGAATTCCTTAATTGTTTCTATAGCACCCGTCATATGGTAAGCATGATGGAATTAACCAGTACTAAGCAATTGAAGGATGAGCCCGTGGTAGACTACATCAACCGTTGGCGTGCTCTAAGTCTAGATTGCAAAGACCAACTCTCTGAGATCTCAGTTGTGGAGATGTGCATGCAAGGCATGCACTGAGGACTCATTTACATCCTTCAAGGGATAAGACCACGAACATTTGAAGAGTTAGCCACACGTTCACATGACATGGAAATTAGCATAGCCAACCATGGCGGGAAAGACCTTCCCATCCTTGAACAAAGGAAAGATAACAAAGAAGTGAAAAAAAGAGACAAGCCTTTCAAAGGTACCACCAAAGAAACAATGACGGTAACCACAACTCTAATCAAGATTTCAATGAAAGATAAGAAGAAAGAAAAAATGAAGGAAACACGCCCATCTCTAAAGGAACTACAAGAAAATAAGTATCCCTGTCCTGACTCTGACGTACCAAGGATGTTAGAAGATTTACTTGACAAGAAAGTCATTCAACTCCCTGAGTGTAAACGTCCTAAAGAAATAGGTCATGTGAAGCATTCGAAGTACTGCCACTATCATCAGATAGTTAGTCATCCTACTGAAAAATGCTTCGTGTTAAAGGAATTACTCGTGGACTTGGCCAAGAAAAACAAAATCCTCTTGGACCTTGACGAATCGGCAGAATCCAACCACGCAACGGTTATTGTAGGACCTCCAGATTCTTCATCCTCAAAATGTAAGACAGAAGTGTCACAATCTGCAATCCCAAGAGTGAAAGCAATTCCCAAAGTCATCTAGTTTGGTTCACTTGAACCTATCGTTATTCAAGTTTCAAATCAAGACATGCATATCCATGATGGCTTTGAAGAAGTCTTAACTATTGGAGAAGATAAAAGTTGGACTCTCATGACACAAAGGAAGGCACAAAGAAGCAAGTCTAAGACTCACTATTTTCCACTTAAGAAAGTAAAAGAAAATAAGAACTCCCATCAACATTCCAAGAAGGAGGTGATGGACAAAAGGAAGAATGAAAAGAAGATGCTACAAAAAGATAAATTTCCTGAAGAAAACTAGCGTGCCCCAATCATCCTGCAACACTTCTTCCCCATTGGGTATTTTGGAGATGACTTGGTCGATATGGTTTCAACCATTGAAGCAAATATGGAACAAGTTCACGCCGTTAAGGCAACGCCAGATAAAGAGGAAATTGATGTAATGACAACCTTGAAAGAACTACCCCTACGTTTCAGTTTGCATGAAGAGTCTCATCTCCCTTGGTCTGTACAACTTGCACTTGTCCGAGTGTTAGAAGATCCTGGGAAAAATGAGTTTGTTGTTAATGAGCTAGACTATCCAAGGTGAACTCCATCATTTTTGTTCTTTGTTGCACAACAATCACCTTCACTAATGAAGACCTTCAACTAGGTTCAAAGCCACACAATCGTCCATTGCTTGTCTCTGGCTTTATTAGTGAACAAAAAGTTAACGGCATCCTTGTTGATGGAGGCTCAGCGGTAAACATCATGCCAAAGTTCACCATGAAGAAAATTGGAATCCCAATTGACGAGTTAGCTTGAAGTCGTCTGGTTGTTCAAGGTTTCAACCAAGGAGGGCAACGCGTGATTGGTATGATTCATTTGAACCTCACAATTGGAGAACTCATAGCCAGTACTTTGTTTCATGTTATCGATGCAAGAACGTCCTATAATTTGTTGCTTGGTCGACCTTGGGTCCATGGAAATGGTGTAGTTACGTCAACTCTCCATTAATGTTTTAAATTTAACCAACGTGGAATAAAGACGGTGTTAGCAGATAACAAGCCATTTACAGAAATTGAGTCTCACTTTACTAATGCAAAATTTTATTTGGATTCCAATGGGATACCTGAAATTATTCCAGCTGAAATCACTTCTGCAAAAAAAGAGAAAATGAATGAAGAAAAGCAAGTTGTGTTGTTGGACTTCTCAAGGGAAGATGTATCAAGCGGCAAAAGAGTACCTAAGGTCGCGTCACCACAAACACAACCTTCATCCTCAAAAGGCCATGCAATGACACAAGTCTTCAGGTATGTGCCGAAGTCTCAACGGAAAGAAAGGCAATCGACGTTTGAAGAAGTCACGACGTCCGCAAAAGTTAAAGGAAACTTTGCTCACCCCGCAATAAAAGAAGATCTGCAGATACTACGAGCAGATGCAACAATACTAATTCCACAGGTGGGATTGTCAAGCCTAATCAAACCTTCACTAAAGGGATTTGTTGGCCTGCGCAAAATTCTATCGAACACGGCTCCTTACCTGAAAAATGAATGGAAGGGTTTTATCCACAAGCTTACAAGCTTCTAGCCAAGTCAGGTTCAAAATTTTATTTGGATTCCAATGGGATACCTGAAATTATTCCAGCTGAAATCACTTCTGCAAAAAAAGAGAAAATGAATGAAGAAAAGCAAGTTGTGTTGTTGGACTTCTCAAGGGAAGATGTATCAAGCGGCAAAAGAGTACCTAAGGTCGCGTCACCACAAACACAACCTTCATCCTCAAAAGGCCATGCAATGACACAAGTCTTCAGGTATGTGCCGAAGTCTCAACGGAAAGAAAGGCAATCGACGTTTGAAGAAGTCACGACGTCCGCAAAAGTTAAAGGAAACTTTGCTCACCCCGCAATAAAAGAAGATCTGCAGATACTACGAGCAGATGCAACAATACCAATTCCACAGGTGGGATTGTCAAGCCTAATCAAACCTCCACTAAAGGGATTTGTTAGGCCTGCGCAAAATTCTATCTAACACGGCTTCTTACCTGAAAGACGAATGGAAAGGTTTGATCCACAAGCTTACAAGCTTCTAGCCAAGTCAGGTTATGAGTTTTCTGATCCCTCATCACTGGGAGAGTTAAGTCCTGAACTTACAGGTGAGAAAGTTCATGGTCTCAATGAAACTCAGAAAAAGTTAAGGTAATAAGGGTACAGGGTGAGCTCTCCAAAGACCGGAGTTGGATTCATGCCAGCTAAACCCATTTGTATCATTGCCAAGAGAAAAGGGAGGAAGGAAGACGTACAACATATCACTGTGGAA